TCAACATACAGAAATCTATAGTATTTCTATACATGAACAGCAGGCAGACGGAGATAGAACTGAAAAAAAAAAATCCATTTACCATAGCCATAAAAAGTATAAGATATCTAGAGATAAATCTAACCAAAGAAGTTAAAGACCTCCACAAGGAAAGCTATGAGAAGCTAAAATAAGAAATTGAAAATGACATAAAAAAGTGGAAGGACTTCCCATGTTCCTGGATTGGAAGAATTAATATAATCAAAATGGCAATTCTATCCAAATGAATCTACATACTTAATGCAATCACAATCAAAATGCCAGAGAAATTCTTTACACATCTAGAAAATACAATCATACAATTTGTCTGGAGTCATAAAAGACTTTGTATTGCCAAAGCAATCCTGCATGAGAAGAGGGTAGTGGGTGGCATCTCACTCTCTAACTCAAAAATATAATACAAAGCTGTGGTAATCAGAACAGCATGGTATTGGCACAGAAATAGACAGGTGGACCAATGGAACAGAATAGAGTCCCTAGAAATAAACTCCCAGACATACAGCCGGCTGATTTTTGACAAAGGGTACCAGTCAATCCAGTGGAAAAAGGAAAAGCTCTTTAACAAATGGTGCTGGAAAAACTGGATATGCACTGCAGAAAGATGAATCTGAACTCCTACCTTTCACTTTCGACTAAAATCAAATCAAAGTGGTTCAAAGATCTAAAACTAAGACTTCAAACTATAAAACTACTGCTGGAAAATACTAGGAAAACTCTGGGAGATGCTGGGGTAGGCAAAGACTGAATCTACATACTTAATGCAATCACAATCAAAATGCCAGAGAAATTCTTTACACATCTAGAAAATACAATCATACAATTTGTCTGGAGTCATAAAAGACTTTGTATTGCCAAAGCAATCCTGCATGAGAAGAGGGTAGTGGGTGGCATCTCACTCTCTAACTCAAAAATATAATACAAAGCTGTGGTAATCAGAACAGCATGGTATTGGCACAGAAATAGACAGGTGGACCAATGGAACAGAATAGAGTCCCTAGAAATAAACTCCCAGACATACAGCCGGCTGATTTTTGACAAAGGGTACCAGTCAATCCAGTGGAAAAAGGAAAAGCTCTTTAACAAATGGTGCTGGAAAAACTGGATATGCACTGCAGAAAGATGAATCTGAACTCCTACCTTTCACTTTCGACTAAAATCAAATCAAAGTGGTTCAAAGATCTAAAACTAAGACTTCAAACTATAAAACTACTGCTGGAAAATACTAGGAAAACTCTGGGAGATGCTGGGGTAGGCAAAGACTTCTTAAATAAGACCCCCAAAGCACAGTCAATAATCCCCAAAATAGATAAGTGAGATTACATCAGATTAAGAAGTTTCTGCATGGCAAAAGACACAGTAATTAGTGTGAATCAAAGGCCCTCAAATTTGGAAAATACTTTTGTAAAACTATGCATCAGATAAGGGACTGATAATGAGAATACACAAGGAACTAAAGCTGCTATCCTGAAAAAAAAGATGATTAATCTATTAAAAGACAGGAGAATGAGTTGTAAAAAACTCTTTTTAAGGAAGACATACAAATAGTCAAAAGTCATATGAAAAAATGCTCATCATCCCTCATTGTAGGAGAGATGCACATCAAAACCACAATGAGATATCACCTAACCCCAGTCAGCATGACTAAGATATAAAACAAACAAACAAACAGACAAACAAACCAACAAAAAACAGAAAAAGGTAAGTGCTAGCAGAAGTGTTGTGAAAGGGGAACTGTCCTACACTACTGGTGAGAATGCAAATTGGTCCAGCCACTCTGGAGAACAATTTAGAGATTCCTCAAGGACCTACAAATAGAACTACCATATCATCAAGCAATCCCAGTTTTTGGTATCTACCCAAAGGACAGAAGAATTCTTAATTGGAATAGTGCTTGCACATTCATGTTTATTGCAGCATTATTCTCAATTACTAAGACAAGGAACCAACCTATATGCCCACGAATAGATGAATGGATTGAAAAACTGTGGCACATATACCCTATGAAATTCTACTCAGCCATAAAAAGAACAAGACCTTGGCTTTTAACAGAAAGTGGATGAATGTGGAAGATTTACTGCTGATTGAGCAAGTCAGGTGATGAAAGAAGATATTGTATGTCTCCACTTAATATATACCGAATGTCTTTACTCTGTGGCTGAAACTGAATGACTGAAAGTTATAGAAACTAATTAAATGGTTGTGAATACCAGACACAGTGTGGGAAGAGGGCGGATGAAGGGGTAGAGTCTGAGGAAGGACATTAAGGAGATAGAGAGGCAAGGCATTTATGGGACAAAGAAATGGATTATTGTCTATTGGAGATAACTTTCTAGTATGGTGAACTGGACTAGTGAGAAATGTACACATGTTGGAATATTCACTTTGTAAGCTAAGTAACATAATTGAATGTATAAAAGAAATATAAATAAAAAGAAAAACTTATCATCATGACTTTTTTGACAATCCAATATATTGAATGTCTACATACTATGGCAGAAACTGAAGGACTCAGCAGCACAGATGTAGATGAAGTTAAAGGTAGATGCCAGAAGGTGTGTGGAGGGAGACAGCATGTGTGGTGTAGGGGAAAATGATTAACAGACACAAGAATGCATGTGAAAAAGTAGAATAAGTTATGGAACAGTATACCACAGTGGAGTTAAAATGTCATTGCCAATTCAAGATATGCTTTACAGAAAGAAAATAAGCTAGCAGAACTGTTACCAAATGTACAAAACATAATGTAATGTTCAATGTTGAATAAGGTGAATATGTCTATATTCTTGATTTGATTATTATGCACCATATGCATGCTTTGAAAAACCATACTATTGCATCCTACAAACATGTACAAGAATTATATTTGAACCAGAAATTACAATACATTATTTTCAGAGATCCCTTCTATATCCTTGCTTGCCAGACAGGCAGAGAGACAGAAAGTGAGAAATCACCCCCGCAGGGGGAATGGCCACACCATAGTCCCTTCTCCATTCTCCTCTTGGGATTTTGGATATGCACACACACATGTTCAGCATGTTTCAAGCCACTGGGTCTGGACCTTGTACCATGGTCAGCCACATAAGGGAGTCAAGCACCTTAAACATTATACCACCTGCTGGCCTCAATTAAATATTTTTAAAGTAAAATAAAAATAAAAATAAATAAAATGAATACAAACAAGCCTATAATTGCAGAATTGGTGAAATGCCAAACTTGAGAGCTTTTCTAAATTACATACTATTTGACTCAGTATTTTCCAGAACACAGTGACTTCTTTGAGACAAACCACAACAAATAAACAAAAATATTGACATAAAATGAGATCTAGTTGCTTCTTTGCTTTGATCTAGTCAGTGGACTTCCATTTGTCTGTATCTAGCAAGTCCCTCTGTGCTCCTGTTCACATCACCTGCATCCTTTGTTCTCAGTACTCCAGATTCAACTACGCTAGCTTGGACCCTTAACTGTGACATATTTCACCCACTTCAGATACTTAAGTGCATTCACTTTCCTCTTCCTGAAATGCTTACCATTATAATCTATGCCCAACTGATTCTTAACTTTCTTTCATTTCTTGGTTAAGTTGTTACTGGATGCCAGCCAGGATCAAATATGGCAGATTTCCCTCCTCAAAGTATCATGTAACTTTCTCCTTCACAGAAAAGATTTTATTATTGATCTATGAATATATGTAACAATTAATTAATGTCTATCCAGTTCCATAGATTGGAGACTCTATGAAGTCAGGGACTAAATCCAGCTTTGCTTACCCTTGCATAGTTCATATAGAGCACAAAAAATGAGCATAAGAGACCTTTGATATTTAGATAGATAAGAAAATAAAAATTGACTTTTCATTATCAAATTCTTTATTGAGGTTTTGCCATCTTAGGAAAGGAAAATCCAATGAGAAAATATTTTAGGTGAAGACATTAATATTTTATGCATTCCAGGAATAATGATTGATCTCTAAGTGTTCAATACTTTGAGTTCTGCTTAGCTGCCCTATTTTTTAGCAATTAAAAGACAATTTAATATTCTATTATAAATACATATAAAATTGCAATTCCTAGGATAAAAATTAATGAAATTTTACATGAAGCAAATATAGAGGTATATAAAAACCTACAATGTCATGTATTTGAAAAGCCAAAACTCATTTGAGAATATTTTTTTTACTTCAGATTTCAAGAAATATTTTGATGTTAGCAGTTCTCTTTCTATTAAATCATAGCATTAATAAAAAATAAGTAATAGAGTTATAGAATAATGAGGATTAATATAATTTTGTATGTTAGCATTTCTAATGTGTGCACAAAGTATTCAATATGTATGTGAGTACCTTCCTTTCACTCTGTTTCATAATATACTTTAGACCAGTTATAACTCAGAAAATAATGTAAAATTGTCTTTAAGTTATAATATATCTGGACTTTGAAAAAATCAGGACAATATAGCTTTTAAAATACGCTTTTAATGACCCTTTGTAATAATAATTGGCCATGCTGTGATCGCTTGTCCTCTAGGGATGTGGGCGCACAAATGCACATGCACTAGGCATGATTTTCAAGTCACCAGGTCTGAGACCCAAACTGCGTTGGTCCTGTGGGAGTGCAGCACCTTAACCACAGCACCAACCGCAGGCCCCACATTTCATTTATTTCTTGACAGATATCACTGTCATCCTTCAGGGAAATTGAGGAGAAACAAAACAACAATGGCAAGGATATATTCTTAGTGAATTTTATATCAGTTCTGCCTAAATAACAAATTATATTCCCTGAAAGAGAATATAAAGAGTCAAATACAACTATAATTAAAATATAATTATATCTCAAAGAGAAAATAATGCATTATTTCCGTGAACTGACAGAATGGATTAATCATCTCTCCACCAAATTTCCATTTATGGAAAGATGAGTGAGTGGCCTGAATCATGAAAACTATGCTGCTTTTACCTTATTTAAGGAAAGGATCCCTTCTCTGGTCTCTTTGTCAGTGGAGATGGAGAATATCCCAATACCATCACCATTTATGATGGAGTAAGTCATGTCAGCGTTTGAACCGGTGTCTGCATCATTTGCCTTGATTTTCTTTTCCCAGCTGTTGAATCAACGTGAGCTGACTCAGGAACATACAGCTGATAGTGCTCTGAAAAATATTTCATATTAAGCATATTTAATAATAATAATAATAATAATAATAATGTTCTGAAAATAATCTTACAAGAAAAAGACAATAACTATTTAAACCACATACTCAAATGAGTATTATATTAAGTAATGTATAAAATAGATTTCTTTTTATAGATTGTAAATAGTAGGATACTATTTAGTAATGAAATAATGGGTTTACATAAACTTTAAATATATGTAAAATACATAAAAGAAAATTTGTATATCTAAATATGAAATATTTTAGTTTTGACATTAGCCTCTATAGCCAATAACAGTAAAACTATCTATTTGATAAGTTTCATTGTCTGAAATGCAAAAGTATCAATTTTTCTAAATTTTCCTGATACTAAATGTTGAATTGAATTTTTACCATAGAGATTTATGAAATTAATATTAAGAAGCATAATGAACATCTTTTAAACTATTTTCTGATGAGAGAGAAACATATTTATTAAAGTGATTTACTACAGCAAATGCAAAAGAACATTAAAAATAACAGGAACTGTGAATTTAAGTGTAATATGATTAAAGAGTTTCAGCCAAGATTACACTAATTTTAATTTTACATCATATAGGATAATATTAGACTATTAAAAGTAGTGAATGTAATTCTATGAAGATATTCCTTCAGTCAATTATTTCTTAATTGGTATGATACTAAAAAAAAAAAAGTTTCATTTGGAGAAAGTCTTAAATATGCTTTTTAAATGTTGTGTTAGTAACGCCTAACATGAGTTCTACCTTCAAAAACAAAAATATAGTTGTATGAAATGCTGTACAACAGAATTCTAAAACATGATCTTAACTATAATTTTATACCTACTGATTTTTCCCTCCCTCAATTTATGACAACTATCATTTTATCCTTTGGTTCTATGACTCTGACATATTAGATATGACATATAACTGTAATCATGCAGTCTTTTATTCTTTCTGTGTCTGACTTATTTCACTCAGCAAAAAGTCTCCACATTCATCCATGTGGTCACATAATTCAGAATTTTCTTCTTTTTCAAAAGGGAATAGTATTTCATTGCATGTATATTCCATATTTTCTACCCATTTATTTGTCAATAGACATAATGGCTGTTTCCACATCTTGGTTATTGTAAGTAGTGCAGCAGTGAACATGGAAGTGCAAATAGCTGTTCAGAAATCTGATTTCAATACAGAAGCAAGATTGCTGTATGTTATGATAATGCTACTTTAAATTTTTGGAGAAATATTCACCTTGTATCCAGTGGTGGCTGCATCATTTTTCATTACTACTAAAAGCATACAAAGGTTATCACTTTCTCCACATACTTTTTGACACTGTTTGCCTTTTGCTTTGTGTTGTTTAGTTTTTTTTTTTCTTTTCTTTTAGTAGGTCAACTTTTTTTTTTTTTTTGACTTTTGGGTGGTAGAAGTTCCTCATGTGTACTAGAAATAAACACTTTATTAGATATATGAGCTTGGAAATATTTTCTCCCATTTCATAAGTTGCTTTTTTATTCTATTAATTTGTTTTTTTTTTCTTTTCTTTTATTAGGTCTACTTTTTTTTTTTGACTTTTGGGTGGTAGAAGTTCCTCATGTGTACTAGAAATAAACACTTTATTAGATATATGAGCTTGGAAATATTTTCTCCCATTTCATAAGTTGCTTTTTTATTCTATTAATTTGTTCCTTTGTTCCACTGAAGACATAAATAGTGGGTAAAATATATTTTTGAGTTCAAAGACCCACGTCAACATATTTCCTGGATGAATAACCCTGTTCTGTGAAACACATGATCCCTTGATATTAACTATGGAGTTTATCAGGAACTACTACGGCATTCAAAGCTCTAGTCTCCCAAAAGTCTTTCAGCTCATTAACTGGGAAGATAACTCTTGTAAACAAAAGAAGTCAGGGTAAATACATAAATGAATACATGGAAGAGTTAGTACAGTATAACAAATCCTGCTGTTTATGAAGTGTTTGTATAAAACTGTCCAAGGGGGTCATAAAAGATTCATGACCCAGAAAACATTTAGGCACAGTCTGCCAAGACAAAGTATATCCCTTGAAGATGAAAGTCAGGTTCAAAAGAGAAACTAATATTTAACACATTTTAATAATTACTAGTGCAGTAAACTTTACCCACTCACTATATTGAACTAGATAAAATGGACTATATTCAGATTAACAATTTATACACTTTTTATAAGTTGAGACTTTATAAAGAATATATTGTAAATAAGCTTTTGTAAGCAGCCTGTCAAGTGGTCCATGGTTTATCTTCATGTCCTGATGTTCGAGTCCTTGAGCAATTCATTCCACTTGTGTGTTGGCGAGATACAGTGACTCACTTCTAATGAATTGAGTAGAGCAAATATAATAGGATTTCACTTCTAAATTTAAGTTACAAAAAGACTGTGTCTTCTATCATGAACATTCTCTGTCTTGGATTACTTACTCTGGGGGGTGGGACTGGCAAAGTGTGTTGCAGCTTTCTGGAGTGATCCACATAGCACATGACTAATGCCTGCCAAAACTGTTGGTAAGGTCGAAGCAGAAACAAGTCCCTACCTTTACAAAGGCAAGCTTTTGGATAAGATCTCAGTCTCTGCTGACTGCTACACTGGAATCTCATAAACCTGTATCAGACTCAATCAGCTGAACCAGGCCTACACTCCCAATCCACAGAATTTATGAAATAATTAATGTTGATTGTTGATCAGTCTAACATAGACTGATTTTTATCTATAGCAATAGAAAAATCATACACACCTTTGCTGTAGCTGCAAGTCATTTGCTAAATCCAATCAGTTCTTTTTAGTTCTTTTCATCTTTAGGTCTTTTGTGCAATGTTTAAGAACATTAAACCCCATGATGAAATAAATGAACAAAATATGATTGCATTACACATTTATTCTTTGAAATTGTTCTACCTGACTTTTTACTTTGATATATTTCTATTATAAAAACAAGATAATATGATGAAATGCATCAGTAGATTGTCACATATTATTAACATTTTCATGAATTTGCTTCACATCTTATTTCATAGACAAATCAGTGTCTGAAGGCACAGATGATGCTCTGAGTGAACTACTTGCTACTACTATTATTAAATATCTCAAATATTATTATATCTCCCCACAATAACTTTCATTCTCTTACATATCTTTATAATGTTAGTTTATGCATGTTTCCATAGATACATGTTTAAATAGCACAGGATTTTTAAGTATGTATATTTTTAATTTATACACATGACATTGTTTTTAAATTGAAAGTTTATGTAATTATTTCTCCCAGGATGGAGGTAAAGAGAGAGAGAGAGAAAATAAGACAATGCCCTGACAGGTTCTTGATGCTAGAATTTACCCCAGCCTTAGCCAGCACTGGGTTATGGCTGATATACTTAGGGAGGTCTCCGTAAGTGAACCTAGAACCCTCTATGTGTGTCAGTTTCACTGTTGTGCTACTATCATCCTCTGCACTATTTTTTCTCTGAAAATCACAATTTTGCAATATATCTAAGATGACACATGCAGTTCTAATTAATTAATTACAATACAGTATGTCATTGTGATATGCCACAATTTATCTGCTTTCATATTTTTCTAATTTAGAAATATTTCAATGAATCTTATTTTAAACAAGCCTTACACACATTCCCAAGTGTATTCCTAGGCTATATCCAGAAGTGCCACCCTCCCTGGATTTTCAGGACATGGTCCTTCTCTTCCTACCAGTTGCACCTTCCTACCAGTTGCATCTAAGTTCAATGAAAAACTTATCTCTCACTTTTGTCTCAACAGATAATATTGCCCATAATATAGGCCTTCATTCTTATTCCTTATACATAAACCCTAGCAGGAACCAGATATAGTGTGGGAAGAGGGTGGAAGAAAGAGGAGAGTCTGAGGAAAGATGTTAAGGAGAAAAGTAGAGAGGCGAGATATTTATGAGACAAAGAAATGGGTTATTATTGGGGCTGGCAGGTGGCATGGTTGTTACGGACGCTGGACTCCCACATGATCGACCATGGTTCAAGTCCTGGACCTGGTGGCTTGCTTTCTCATTTTCTTTCTCTCTCTCCCCTCTGTGTGTGAATAATAATAATAATAAATCAAGCTAAATAAAATAATTCTTTTAAAAAATAAAAAATAGGTTATTACCTGTTGATGATAAGGTGTAAGGTATCCCCAACTGGACTGGTGAGAAATGCATTCATGTTGAAACATTCACTTTATAAGCGAAGTGACATATGTGATTGATGTATAAAAGAAATTAAAATAAATTTAAATAAAAGTAAATTAATAAAATTAGATTATAAACATAAAAAATAAATAAAGATTAACAAAAAAATAAACTCTAAAAGGATACATGTGTCCCCACTGCTACCTATAAAATGATGGCCCCCAAATTTATTTATATCTACCATTTCCAAATTCTTGTTATTATATTCAAATAAATGTTGGTCATCTGCAACTTGAGATCTTTTTAAAAAATAAAATTGAAAACAATTTGGAAAGTTTAAAATGTGAGCCAGTGAGCCAAGTCTCAGTGGCATAGTATATGGTGTACTGTACTGGAAACCACATGGCTGACTGTGGGTTCAGATCCCTGGTAGTGGTAGTCCACTCAAAACATGCCAAACACCCATGTATGCCCAAGATGCTGACCAGCTAAAGGGCTGGATAAGGAGACTGGGGCATTAGGAAACCCTTATGAGTGTCCCTGCATCTCTTTCTCATGCATATGCATGTGCTGTCATGAATATGATAAAATAAAAAAAAAAACCTTAAGATGTAGACCAATGAAGAAAGAAAAAAATAAAGTGCTTAAAATTTATAATAAAAGAGGGATGTAGAAAGTTTAACTTGTTGGGCCAGCAGGTGGCATGGATATTAAGGTGCCGACCACCCAGTCAGCTGCATGGTTTGAGTCCCTGCCCCAGATAGAGAATTACGCTGAGTGCATGTGTGTGCGCCCAAAATCC